CCAAAGTACTTAAATGATCACTCTGAACTATCTCTTGCTTAAGTTGTAGAGCATCAAAATTTTCATGCAATACGAGAAGCCTTTTTGCTTATGAAGTTTGCTATCCCGCACGAGGTGTATTGTTTGTTGCTGCAAATCACATACAGTTTAGTTGGAAAATACACGAAAGAAGCTCGATGATGTAACTAAGGACCTGAGGACTCATGAAGAAATCATTAATGTGTTGAAGGAGGTACATGCCCTATGATTGGTTGCTGTTAACAAGTTATAAAATTTCTAGGAAGATATGGAAGGACGAAGAGTAATTGCTGAAAAGGAAAGAAAAATAAACGAGCTAGAAGAAATGGTCCGTAGCATGGGTTTGGACCGCTGTGAAGTGAATCACTGCTGAATGATTCTGAGCGCAAGAGTATTCTTCAATTGTTCCTGTTTCATTATTTTTGATAAATTACTCATATTTAATGATTTACACACAATGAGCACAGCTTTGTTTTCAATTGTATTCTTTTCTAGATTCATTTTCAAGCTTTTCCCATGTTTGCTATGGTGTTTCATTTTTTTAAAATTTCCCTCTAAATAGATACTGCTTATGCCTCATAGCAGGTTCGATAATCGTAATAGCGTTTCCAGACTAGCCAGCGGTGTATGTATAGTGAGTTGTTGAAAAAGAATTAACCTTACCAAAGCCAGATGTTCATTCATCAATCTTCTGTAGTAGGTGTGATATACGCTTACGTTGGGAAAATACCGTGTTTTTGTGGTTTTGGTCTATGATGCTCAAAACATCTATTACACTTTGTTAACATCAGTCGCGAGTGCGAGTATATTGCGTGGTTTGAGACTACGCCATTCTCTTCCTGTTATTTTAGAAAGCTGTACGATTGTATCAAATACTGTGTCGTAGCTCTAGTGCCCCACAGAAATAGTCATTTTGATGATAGACATGTATCTCCAATCATAACTCTTTTGCAATGGTTGTATTTAGATATCTCAAGTTACCGGTGTATAAAGATTAGTGATAGGTTTTTTGTTTTGCAAAATAATGTCGAGAGTAAAGATTCATCTATCTTCTTATTTTCCTCTTTCTTTCATTGCTTCCCTTCTTATTCAATCGTTACCAAGCCACTTTGTCTAGGAAGAGTGTGCGCAAGCTCCCTCCAAAGGACCATGGCCAAAGCGCCGCCTGGCGGCGCTTGTTAGGAGGAGTGTGTGTGCAAGT